GCGGCTGCTCCTCCAGCACCTCCCACTGCTCGTCCTCGGGGCCCCCGGGGCTCGCCGTCGCGGCCGCCTCCGGCTCTTCCTCCAGGGCCTCGGGCGGGTCCTCGCCGCGGCCGTCCGTGCGCACCGCGGCCAGCGGGGCGTCTGGAGGCAGCAGCGGGCGGGCGCGCGCCCAGTCCTCCCCTGTGGGCGCCCCGGGCGTGACGAGGACCAGGGCGTCGTAACGGGCCGGGGCGGCCTCGGGGCCCAGGGGGACCGTCCAGAGCACTACGTTGGGGCGCTCGGGGGCCGGGTACGCGGCGGGCGCGGCGGGCGCCGGGGCGGGCGCGGCCCCCGGGTCGCCGGGATCCAGCCCCAGCAGCGCGTCCAGTACGAGGCCCACGTCGCCGGCGCCGGCCACGGCGATGTCCAGCCGCGCGCTGCCCAGGCGCTCCAGGCCGGCGCGCACCCACGACAGCGCCGCCTCCAGGCCGCCCGTCTCGAAGGCCTCGCGCACGGCCTCCAGCTCGGCGGCGCCCAGCACCTCGAAGCCATCCTGGGCCGGCGGCAGGAGCCTGTGGGAGGGGGAAGGAGGGAGAGCTTTAAAACGCAGGGAATGCTGGGCTGGGCGACCAGGACCTGGCTATGGTTACACGTTTTTATTTATTTGTGAATCCCAGGAACTGAGGTGGGGAATTAAAGCTAACAGAAACCAGGAGGGTAGACCTGAGTTCAAGCCCAGCCTGAGCCAGGAGTCCAAGATTTAAAAAAAAAAAAAAAAAAGGCGGCGGGGTGGGAACAAAAAGTTAAGCAAGGAGCTTAAGGCTACCCAAGGTCTGGGTCTACAGATAAACCTAAGGTCAGGGGCCTCTTAAGACCTCAACCTGGGCGGGGTGGTGGCCGCCTTTAATCCCAGCACTGGGGAGGCAGAGGCAGCGGGTCTCTGAAACAAAGGCTTTCTCCTGACAGGGACAAGTTTCCTAGGGCGAGGGGCCTGGAGGAAGGCAAGGACAGGCAGGCATCTGCAGTGTGGCCGTTCTCCTGAGGGAGGGTGTTAGGAGGGGGAGTTGGAGGGAGGCCGACAGAACCAGCTGGAGTTGGGGGCCCAGGATTGGGGAACGGAGGAGCAAGGAGGGCAGGGGCCGCTGAGAAGCCCCGGGGACTACGGGAGTGCTGGGGCGGCGGCTTCGGGCAAAATCTTTGCGGAATCACAAATGTCCCAGAGAAATGGGAGTCCAGCATTTCGTCCGCGAACAGTATTTGCACATGCCTGGGCCTCTTCTCAAATTCGCACCAGACAGGAGGCTTGTGATGTCAGAGAGCCCGGGGCGGCCCTGCGGCTGAGCCTCGACGGGTGCAGGCTTTAAATGACAGAAAAGGATCACTCAAGGCGGGGCCTCGCGGACCTCGAAATCTGTGCTCGTGGGCGGGGCGAGGGGAGTGTTACCTACGAGACAGCCTCTAACTCCCCGGAACGGGGCCCACGACCCCCCGAACCGCGCGGCTAAGCTGGACTAGGCCGCCCCGCCCGCCGCGCCCTCACCTCTGCAGCGCGTCCGCCCGGGTCCGCAGCGCCGCCCGCAGGCGCTCCAGCTCCTCGCCGCCGTCGGCGCCGAAGCGGGCGTCCGGCAGCACGAAGAGAGGCGCGGCTCCCAGGCCGGCACCGAGCAGCGAGGCCGCGGCCTCCTCCCGGGCCCGAGCGGCGCCCCCGGCCTCTCCGGGGCGCAGACTCCGCACGGCCAGCAGCGGGGTCCCTCTGGCCAGGGCGGCCCGCGCTGCCTCGCCCAGGGCTGGCGCCAGGGGCTCCCCGGCGCCCTCAGGCCCCGCCAGCACCAACACCAGCAGGTTGGCCTCCGCCGCCCAGGGCCCGGGAGTCGCGGGCGGGCAGCTCAGCTCACCCAGGAAGAGGCCCGGGGCCGCCGCTCTCAGGCTGGGGCCCGCGGCGTCCGTGCGCCCGTCAGGGATGTCCACCGTGTCCACGGTCTTGTCGCACAGCGCGGCGATGAGCGCCGACTTCCCCGAGCCCGGGGGCCCCAGGAATAAGGCCGTCACGTCGCCCCGCGGCAGAGGCATGGCTGCAAAGCCGGGGCGGGGAAGGGCCTCGGTCAGGCGGCGCGCGGGCTCCTCCCGGCCGCGGCCCCGCAGAGCGCGGCCCTGGCCCGCCTTCCACTCCCCGGCGTCCCCCGGTAGCACCTAGCACCCCGGCGCCCGCGGCCCGGGCCCTGCGGCCAGGCGCCCGCCCGTCCTCCGCGCGAACGCATCGCTCCTGGTGAAAAGGCGACGCTAATCCGCTGCCACTCCCGGGGGCCGCCCCTCCCCGTCCCCGTGCCAGAGCACTGACCTGGCAAAGGGCGGCGGAGCGGAACGGCCTCGGGTCGGCCGCGCACGGCCCCGCCCCTCGGGGCCAGCTGACCGAGGCGGCCGGGGCAGCAGCGTCCCGACGCCTTCGGGTGGCTCGGCCGTGACGGCGCTCCTCCCCAGGGCGGGCTGCTCCGGCCTAGGGACGCCGCAGCCCTGCGCGTGCGCAGAAGGCCGCACGGGGGCGCCGGCCCCGGAGCGGCAGCCAGTGCGCCTGCGCAGTCAGTCCGGCGCCGCGCTGTGGCGGAGGACGGGAGCGGCGCGCCTGCGTAGTAAGGCTGTACGGTGAATGGCGCAGGAAGCGGCGCGCCTGCGCAG